CAAGTCTTCGATCCTTCAATACACTTCATAGCTGTCGATGTTCATTTCCATGCATCAACATATCCCCATCCCATCAGAATTGTCGAATCCAATCCTACACCAGCCATCATCTCTCCATCTATCAACAACCAAAGAATCCTTATCATTATCCAATTCATAGAGCCGATGGAACTAGTCCAAGAGTCTCTCATCACCCAAACCTTACATCACTCCTATTACCAATTCATTTTCGTAATAAAGAGTGAGAAATAATTTGGAGATCATTCAAGTTATCAAAAAAAAAAAAAACTTCACCATATTGGACCACATTCCTCCACCCTCTGGTATGAGGATAACTGGACCAAGAGCCCTATTCAACCCATGTATACTCCTAACCACCTTGACCCAAATCAAGTCCACATCGGTATAAAAAAACCTCCCTTTAAGAAGCAACGCCATTTTAAAGCACCTTCAAGCTACCCGACCACGTTTATCCTTAGATTTTAGCATCGTTTCCTACTAAACCCATTATATCTGCTACTCATAATCACTTTTACCCAAAAGAAACGAACCCCCAACATGTCCAAAAAAATAATCATTGTCTCTGGCATTTTAAACAATGCCATATAGTACTAGATTCACTTTCCAATTCACCACATGTTTCTTAAACTTTTGAATCAATGTATTCCAATTAGCAATACGACTCATATTAGAGCCAACTAGCAACAAAAGATAAGAAAAAGCAATACTAACAGTCAAACATCATGTACCATAATTTTTTCTTCACCTGTTGTAAATTATAATACCAACCCCATACAAATTAATTGATGCAAATTATGTATAAGGCCCAAAACTAAATAAAAATGGTTAAGGATTATGACAAGATTTATAATATTATGATCATCCAACTCACCTATAAACAATGCATCATATTCATAGAAAAAATGAGATAGTTAACGAGAAACTTTCCTCACCCATAGTTGCACTAAGAAACAAACCCAACCCACTAGATCCTCTAAATACTAAAGCCACATGTAACCATTTCATGAAAATAATGAATAAAAATGGGACAATGGGTCACCTTGACGAAGACCCCTCTACAACGAGAACTCCTGAATTAGGGCTCCACTCACGAAAATGGAAGAACAACACAAAACCAAACATGCTTTAGTCTGCCATATCCACCTTTGGTCAAACCTCATAAATGTCATGATCTGTAACATGTACTCCAAGCTTACCGAGTCATAAGACTTATTCAAACATACATTTAAAATCATGTTTTGTTTATCCTTTTCCTATTGTAATAGTCAATGATTTCATTCATTATGGTAGGAACATAAAGAATTTGTTTGCCTATAACAAAAGTAGATTTGTCAGGGCTAACAATACCATTAATCACAAGGGCCAACCTATTAACTAAAGTTTTGTAATAATTTTGTATTGCACTCTAATTAAGCTAATCGTTCTATACTCTTTGATAGTAGAAGGACTATCTATCTTAGGACTAAGAGTAATGAAGGAATAGTTACACCCATTCAGAATCACACCTTCTTCAAAGAACTCATCAAGAAAGTTGCAAATGTTCTTCATACTCTCCCAAATTTTTTTGATAAAGCAAGCCCCCGAACTCGATCAATCCCACAAGACCAAACTAGCATTATAATTCTTGGGTGTGACAGCTCAACTCTTACTTTTAACTACTTGGGGTGCCAATTGATGCAAACATGGGTTTAAAAAAGAATTGCCAATAATCGAACGTGTATAAGGAAAGCTCTCCTCATAGAAAGCAAAAATTCTATCGGTTGGGAGGCGTCTCATGCTAGTTATATCCGTCCTTGGCAGCCTTCCATTTTATTATTTCTTGATTTTCAAATCATCAATTTGTATCATCAAAACCCTTTGGAAACTTAGAAGAAGATTCATATGGGGTGGAAAGGAAGGGAAGAAAACAATAAAATGGGTAGCATGGCCCAAAGTACATGCTTCAAAGGAGAGAGTGGGGGGTCATCAAAATTGGTTCTCTTAGTGTTCTCAATATAGTTGTCTTGACTAAGTGGATCTGGAGACTTAATAGAGATAAAGATAATTTGTGGAGGCACACCATTGAAGGAATACATAATCTAGATCGCAAAACGATGAGGATGTATGCAAAGAAAACTCGCTCAGGCATGTGGAGCAATATAGTCAAGGTAAGATACGATCTTGATAGTCTCGATTTAGAGTTTGACAATTTGTTCTCCTGTTTAGTTGTTTAGTTGATTCAGGAGAGAACACTCTTTCTAGGTGTCACACCCCCAAACCGGAACGGTGGAAACACTCGGGGATGGATGACTTCATGTGTAGTATCACAACAATGCACAATAGTAATCAAAGTACAACATTCATTACATTGATAAAATATAACTTTACATTCGTGTTCAAATCATTGTATATTTGACACCAAAAAGTATAATTAAAAGACATAAGTATATGAAACTCTGTCTTCCTCAAAACTTGTGGGTACCTGTTTATCGATTTCCTGAAAATACAAGTAGTTTTGAAAAGAGTGTCAACAATTAAGTTGGTGAGTTCATAAGCATGTTTGTAATAGAAATCTGTTATTTGTTCCTTTGAAAAATGCAAGTATGTTTTCCCCAGAAAATCCTATTTTTTCTGTTGTATATGTATTTGTGTTCTGAAATAGTATAATATAGTTTTAAATTCCCATAATACTATGAAAAGTATGTTTTCTCTATACTAGAATAGCATTCTGTATTTATACTTGTACGAAAGCTTGTGAAATTGTAAATATCTAGATTCACCAATTATAGTTTCATTTATATAAAACTATGTGAAGTTGTTTACTTATTCCTACACTAAACGCATTATTCAATACCAAATTGTGAGTTATCATAATCATGCTTGATGACCTAAGCCTCGCCTGAAACACGACGTTCTTCAGGTGTCGAAATATGGTACGACAATTGTCACCACAGGTCTGCCGACCTAGCTGTTGCAAGCAGCTCTGGTGTGGGATTGTCAGTCTCGTATAGATCTATACATAAGTGTCACGCTCTCCCTCCAGGAGACTCTGGTTATAATTTTCAGGACTTTTGTTTTATACTTAAATAAGTACTTGAAGCGTGTCTATTGCTATATTGACGGTTACGTATAGAATAATGAAAAATATCTTTGTAATAGATAAACTGTAAATATCTCATAACTTTTGTTTTATACTTAAATAAGTACTTGAAGCGTGTCTATTGCTATATTGACGGTTACGTATAGAATAATGAAAAATATCTTTGTAATAGATAAACTGTAAATATCTCATAAATTATATTTAATAGAATTTATATGGTTATTTTCGTAAGTTATCTTGAATATGAAAAGAAATATGTAAGTTCCATAAACTGTATTGATAAGTATGCATGACTCATAAACTATACCTATTATAGTTTATATGCTTGTTTTTATATGAAATCCCGAATTGGTAAAATAGTATGCTTATTTTAGTAAAAGTAACAATCGTAAACCATTTGAATAAATTTTGTAATTTATACAAGATTTCCTTGTATTTTACCTGTATTTCCCCCCTAAAATATTTATAAAGATAGTGAAAATAAAGGGGTATAAACTCACTTGATAGGTGGTAATTCGGGCAGCGTTTCGTTTCTAGAAAGGAGTTTACTTGATGAAAGTAAGAGTTTTTGATGAAAAGTCGGCTTCACGCGGGCAGAGTTTCAGTTAAAAATTGAGGACTTCGGGGCTTCGGGGCTTGCTTCAGGTGGTAAGGAGGTTCCCGGGACTTCGGAGGGTTTAGAGAGGCTTAAATGAGTGTTTAAGAGGAGAGAGGTTTTGAAATTTGTAAACCAAACTCGGAAGCCTCGCATCCTATTTATAGGAGGTTGAGGTCCAGTATTACGTTGGGCGTAATATTCATGTACGTTGGACGTACAACTGAAAACCTTAGTACGCTGGGCGTACTTCTCGTACGCGGGGTGTACTAGTTTGAGTCTTATCCGATCTTCGGACGTGGTGAGGCTACGAGATACGCGTCGAGGCTAGTCCGATTACGATAGGCGTAATCTTTTCGTACGCGGGGCGTAGTGGCTACCTGGCTTCGGACGTGTCGAATGAGCGAGACACGTGTTGCATGTGAAGAAAGAGGCGACGTGGTCAATCTGAGGCCTAGCTTCCGAGTACGCTGGGCGTACTCTTGTACGCGGGGCGTACTTCTATTTTCCAAACTTCAAAAATTCGTATCTTTTGCATACAAGCTCCGTTTTTGACGTTTTTTATATCCACGCGTAGGTGATACCATGATATACAACTTTCGTTTAGACTCCGTCGGCTAATTTTGACTTTATTTTTAAATTTATATTTTTAACATGCGGGGACATGAAAAGTCCGTTAAAAATTCATAACTTCTTCATCCGACGTCCGTTTTCGTCTGTATTTTTATCATTGTACTACTATTGACGAGACCTTCGATTCTCGTTTAGGTTGTCTCGACTAAAAATTTCTCGATCTTTATTTCAAATTTCGGGTTGTGTATTCCTATGTTGAATCTTAGAAAACTCATAACTCCTTCATACGAAGTCAGATTTGGACGTTCTTTTTATGTATGTTCACGGTTTAACGTATTCTACGGCTTTCATTTAGATACCTAAGGCTAAAAAGCATTTTTATTGAAATCTCACTTTTTACGCTACACAGCGTTTTGCCGGTTTTGTCGCGGAACTTTGATAGGTCATAACTTCTTCGTTATAACTCGGATTTCGGTGTTGTTTATATTTTCGGAATCCTTATAACAATCTCTACCACTTTATTCATCCCAATCAAGTTTATTTAACATTTTATTTTTGACGATCATTTTTATTACATCTTTAAAAATAATTAAATGCATATAATATTCAAATAATTTCTCTTTATTACTTTAAAACTAGTTACAATGGTTGACCTAGACTATTACATTAACTTGAAATATCGGGTTGTTACAGTAGGCAAGACAACTGGTTGGAATCGGGTATACTGGTAACTCAATTCTCAGGTTTGTACAATATGGATAAACATAAGTCATCACTCATTGCTGATAGATTCAACTCAAATGGTTTCATTGGAAGTTGGAAAAATTACTAAGTTTATCAGTGGAGCTTTCGAAACTATCAAATCTCCGTTATGTTATCGTCAGTTTAGTTCCTTCTCATGGAATCGACACCATAAAATTCAATCAATCATTTGATGGTAGTTTTTATGTTAATGTAATGAGGAACTTTATAGAATCTAAGCTAAACATCCCATTGATCCCCCGATAGTATGGATTACTATTGTCCCGATCAAAGTTTCTGTTTTTGTGTGGAGATCATGCTTGGACCGTATACCTAGTTACTTAGCTTTCAGTTGTAGAGGTGTGAATATCTCTTCACTAGTTTGCCTATTTTTGCTCTTGTGAGATTGAAAATACCAATAATCTTCTTGCAAAATTTTCATTCATGCAGGAAGTATCAGAACGGATATTCAAACGGTGTTGTATTCAAAGACGATCAAATATATGTGATCACATTAATTTTGCAGCTAGTTAGGGTCATTGCTCAAAGAAAAAGAAGATATTGCTAACTATTATATATGAAACAATTTGGAGTATTTGGAATGTGAGAAAGGACAAGATGCTTAATAATTAATTTCTACAACGAAAAACATGGCTAAATTCGGAAAGAACAACGAAACAGAAGATATTGCTAACTATTATATATGAAAAACATGGCAGCCAATATAATTTCAATGGTTTGTGGATATGTTAAACATATGGCTAAATTCGGAAAGTACAATTTGACGTGTTGGAGTTGTCCTTTTTGATCTTACGTTGTATTTTCCATTATATGTTTTCTTTTCCTATCCCTGGTCACTTGGTAGGATGTGTTTAATAAAATTGTCGGATACAAAAAAAAGATAATAATAATAAAATATTATGAAAGATGATAATAATAATAATAATAATAATAATATAATAATAATAATAAGCCACTTAAAAATAAATAAGTTTTCTACGAAAACTTTTTTCAAGAAAATACCATCCTTTAGTGGCCCCGTTGTACTTTCATAAGTATCTCTTGTCATTTGAATTTCATTTCTTTGACCAATAATACTGTTACAGCTTTCAACTAATCCAAAAGTAATGATCTTGCTTGTTTCACCCAATGAAGTATGACAAAAACTATGATCTGTTGATTGATCACTATAAGAGTTATTAATGGTGGTTTTTGGTTGTGGTACAGGTAACGGAGGAGCTCTTTGCAGTCGAGCCTTGATGTTGTTTATGGTCATGTAAGACATTCCTATAGAATTAAGCGTCAATGGTGGCTGGATGTTACTGGATTGAGGGATGGATTCATAATCATTAGTTGGGGTCGATTGCCCACATCTGTTGTAAGCATATCTCTCTACTTGCTTTTTCTTTTGTGGTATCAAGGTTGGTTTCTTGATACTCTTTTGATGTTCTTGGTATTTCTGAAAGTATAAAATATGGAACATTCCCATCATAACTAAATAAGAATAAGAGCCTGAAGTTGGAAACTAAAAAACTTGCAATAGTGAAGGAAAAACAGTAGAAATATGGAGATGAACATATAAGTAAGTTACCTGTAGGTGGCTCGCGATCTGATTACGTGTGAGTCCCGGAACATTCATGGCTTCTAGAATTGCAGAAGGATAAGCCTCTGTAAACATTAAATCATGTGAAATAGAACAATTAATAACAAGTAAAATAAATAGTTCCAAAATAACAAAAATGTAAAAAGATACTATATATTGACTTCAAAATTAGTTAAATGAAATACTCAAGAGGATGTGTGGATATATATACTATACTTTGTTTCCCAAGTGTATTGATTGCCTCAACAAACTTTTTCTGAAGAACACTCGTCCATGAAATCCGCTTCATGGTATCAAATATCTTTTTATAATATTTGTCATCCTCAACAAGTTGGTCATTTGTTCTCTTATGCTCATGAATATGTTCTTTATCATGATCATTGCCTCGTACTTCCTCATATGTAACTGGCTTAAACATGGCATTATAATCCAGTGAATTAATGTTTAGTCCTTCTTGAGTGACACCTTCTGATGATAAGTTGTTATTGATAAATTTGGGGTTGAGATTTGTTGATTGTGTAACTATCTGATCAACCCTCTTGAAGATGTTGGGCTCTTGGTTTTCTTCAGGTGATTCTCCATTTGAGTAGTTACATCCTTCAAATGATATTATCTTTCTACAAACATGTTTCCAAATATTGCAAATCTCCTTATGACCACATGGTTTTGGGAGATATAAAACCGCCTCATTTTCTACAATTTCCTTAAGGAGTCGCGTGTGATTATTATGGGAAGCCATCACTACATAAGGTTTTAAAGAGTTGAAGAAAATATATGTTAGTGAGAATTGAAATATATGTGGATTAAGATGTCGTGTGTATGTCAAATTTCCAACTAATCAAAGTATAAATTTAACTCTTACTAATTATAGATAAATGAGGTTGATGCTTAAAAGTTTGATGGAGAAAATCCACCATATCCATTTCACTTATGTCAGCATCTATCAAGACACAGTCATACAATTCTCCATTCAGTATCTTTAACAATCCTGTAGCCACTTCAGATGTGGTTGTAACTGTAAAAAAACACATGATAGTTTTAATATACAGTCTGAAAAGGCATTACAAGCATGTTAAGTTATGATACACGAAATAGTTGTAGAAAGTTACTTAGTGGAACTAGCCTTGTTTTCTATAAAATTCTATTCTTTAATAGACATATCATTAGAGGGGAAAGACCAACATCGCGAAATGAACATTTTGGTTATAATTTAATAATTTCTTATCACTGTTTTATATTAGCCCCAACCTTTATAGTAACACTTCTCTACCGGTTGTTTCGACCCACTAAATCACTAGTACAAACATGGTTTTCTATCTTCCATACCAGCTCAACCTTTAAAAACTCTAACCCTTCAAAGATGCTCTTCCAAGATTGAGAAGTCGCCTATCCAACTAGCGGGATAGCCCTCACATTTTTTTATTGCATCTTCTTTCGAATTCTTTTTTGTCAACCTAGCATTTGGAAACAAATAAATCCAACCAAACATGGGTGTTGTGTTCTATGCCAATAGAAATCTTAGTTGTTGAAAATTGACCTAAAAAAGTTGTCCGGTGGTCCATGAGATTTCATTAAATTCTTGTGAACTATAGGCAAAACAGCTTGGAGAGGCATCTAGAGATAACTTTTTGAACAATGGTTCAAACGACTTGACTAATTCTAGTGAGAAAGGAACTGAAAAACTTGGAGGTGGCATGGGGAAACATTGATGGATCTAGGTGACTTGAACTCAACATCATGAGAAATCGACCATACAACTTTGAGCACTTGGCTATTAAAAACATCATTTTTTACTCATGTGAGTTAAGAGAGAGTGTGATAAAACCCTACAAAATCGCTCCTTCAATTTTCTCCCATTTCCTCCACATTTATCCCTATCCACTTGTATTTATACTATTTCCTTGCATGGTAAATATTATTATCCCTAGTGCATCTCTTTGTAGTCTCCTTCGTCCTTGGGGTTTCCCGATTTGGTTTTTCCACGTAAATCTCAGTGTTTTATATCTAATCGTTAGTGTTATACTTATTATTGATAATTCTTGTTATATATTAGTAATTACCTTTGATTAGAAATATTATTATGAAATTATCAAGTCAACTGAAGCATTTGAATCAATCGGGATAAACCCTAGTTTTGCCAATATTTGGTAAAGTTTTTATTGTTCTTTGCTCATTATTATATATATATTAAAATTGTGGAAGAAAGGAATAGTGAAATTAGCATACTTTGTCCAGGTTTGGTCCCTTGATTTACATATCCGGTCCCTGTACTTCTTTAATTAATTTATTCATGTCCTTTTGTTTGTGTTTCATTCAACTTCCCATTTTTTTGGAAGAATTGGTCCATGTATTATTGTTGGAAGTTAGGAATACTAAATTTGGATGTTTTTTGGCAACTTTGCTCATTATTCTTTACCCATTTTGACACTTTTGGTCATTGCAATCAATATTTTTACACTTTTTTGGAACCTTTTAATATTCAAAGTTTGGCCACAAAACTTTAACGGTTTGACAACTTTGATCCCTTCTAAACAACTTTGATCCCTTTTCTAAAAAGTTGGTAATTCTTACCCCTTTAATTCTTTAGCCATTTTCACACTTCTGGTCCTTGCAGTCAAAACTTTTACATTTTTTGTCCGGGGCAAAGCCCGGACTTTTCATCCTTTCACTTTCTATGTCTGTCATATTTATCAATTCGGAAACAACATTGAAAGCTTCTGGCCCCCGCGTAGCGGGGGTAACCTTTCTAGTTAATTATTATGAGAAGTTACTTTTAGTGGACGAAGGTTATGATATTATAATTTACAATCACGTCCACTCTAAGGAAAACCTACACCTATGTAGAGCATGTAGAACAATTATGAATCTCTCTCACTAAGTTTTTTTTTATGCAAACCAACCTTATTGAAGGTACGTATAGCAAATTTTTTTTTAATGGTTGGTTAGTGGTTAAAAGTTAAATTCATTAAATTAGTTAATTCACATAAACCAGGACCACAAATCTAAGAGGTTTCCACCTCTATCAAGTGGGCTTGTCCCACATTAACTTTTAGCAGCTAAAGATCTTGAAGTGAAAAAGATTTTGAAATTGAAAATGCTCTTAATAAGTCATTTAACTTAACTAAGCTTGTTTTACCCTAAAATATTTTGAAAAAGTTCATATGATTAATGCTCTTATTTCGGAGAATTAGTTCCACAACCCATTTATAAACACACTTTTTATACCCAAAAGCGGTTGCTTTTTATATTAATCAAAGAGATAGCTTATTTTTTTTCTTGGATTTGTGAAAAATATCATTAATGCATTTCGGATGTGATAAATTGCAGATTGATCAGTTTTTTTTTTGTTTTTTTTTAATTTCTAGAATTTATGAATAGTTTTTTTCTTCATTTCATATATAGGCAAAATCAACAAAATAATTAATTCACTTTCAACAAAATCGAAAGATAAATAAAAAATGAGATATTTTTTTAATAATATAAAAAAACTTGAAAAAAAAAACTATTAATCACCGTATATGAAACCAGTAAAATAATATTTTCCATATAAAAAGATTATAAAACAAACTTTTTCATTTTAAAGAAAACATTTGTACGTCCGCAATAGATTTGAAAAACATACATTGGGATTAAAATCCATCAAAACTAAGATATGACAGTTTTGATTTGTTACCATTTCTTGTAAGCAACTGGATCATGCTATACCTTTTTCCAATAAACTATTTATCCGAATCTAAATCTTGTAAATCTATCATCGATCGGAAATACTAGCGACACATATAATGTATTTACATTCAAAAGACCCTAAGACTAGATCGATTAATCAACTTACCAATTGACTGAAGAAAGACAACAGAGTGAGATGGATGGAGAAAGAAACTCAAACTAGCTACCATGATAAGAGCTATGCGAAAGAATGTATCCATGATTCTCCAAAGAACTTTTTTTCAGGTTCAACCAACAACACTCGAAGGCCACACAATCTTTTTTGGTATAAGTACGATGAGCTCTAAGCTATGAATCGTCATTTTGAGCAATGTGGACAAGGTATAAATTCGGAGCAAGAGAACTAGTGAGGCCCTAAAAAATAGGTTTAGTATGTGCTTTATGGATCATAAAGTGAACCACTATATATAGTACCGCCTAAATACATTGGCTACAAGACAAGCGATATTTTTGTGGAAACCAAAGTTTTGATAATCGAAGGGTTAACTATATATTTTTAGGTATTAGTATATAAAATATTTGAACTCTTTTTCATAAATTAATTAAGATCGATAATTTTTCATATATCAACTTGGAAAGTACATGATTCTTTTTCTTTTTGTAACGCTGGAGTTCAATGCTTATGTGGAATCCGATTTACATATATTAAAATCGGACAAAGCTCTCTATATGAAGCAGCTAGAACATTTGTTGAATGTATATCTACGACGACAAAAATTGTGAAGCATGCGAGAGATCGAGGATCCAAGGAGTCATCTAATATTTTATTTATTTATTTATTTTTACAAATTTATGAAAACAAAAATACATTAATAAAAGTGTTTTTACGTTTTTTTTTTACTTACAAACATCAAAAATGACTATCAAAAAAAAAGTTAGCAATGAATTTGTAAAAAACTACTAAGTTGTAAAAATGAAATAAAAACATGCATTAAAAAATATACAAGAGGACATTATGAAACAATATGTAAAAAGTTCTAAAAAGGTAAATTTGCAACTAAAAAAAAAAATTGACGTTTTTATAAAAAAATGAAAAGACTATGTTCTAAACAACATGAAAAAAAAGTGATTTCAAAAAATTAGTATTGAATGAAACAATTACCATAAGTTCATATTTCTACTCTTATATCCAAACCTTAATAGAATTTAAAAATGCTTAGAAAACACGAACTCATGTATGACAATAATAAGAAGAAAAAAATAAAATTAAATAGCCACCAACATTAAAAAAATCTAAATAACTATACTTTATAAAAAAAGTGAGGCCAAATATATATTAACTCATAATGGAGATGTAAAAAATCTAACATAGTTTTGAGGTAACCTTCAAGAACTAAAACCCTTGATTTATATTTGTTGAAACCTAGTATTAGACATTTTCCATCATTATCTAATTCTATAGGTTATATGGACGATTCTACTTCCAGTTTATTTGTTATTTTCCTATTATGGTGTTCTTCCACCTTGTTTTTGATTTTAGATTTCGATGATTTCTTTGTTTGTTCACAAAATAGTTAGCACATACCCGGTGAATTTTAAACTTGGAAGATGGAAAAATATTTTTCTGTCTGATTGCTACTATATAAGGACAATAAAGAACTAAGAACCAGAATAGATAGAAAAAAACACGTTTTTTCCTAATTAAGTGGAACCGACAAACACGAAAGAGTCATCAAATACTTGTAGCAGGCCAGGTCGGGTCGAATCAGTAAAAAATCGGTTGATTTGCGAAATCTCGTGTTGATTAACTAGAACGATTGAACATCTTAGAAACCAATAAAAAATTTGCTTACTTGACACCTAAACCAGATTTTTGAATTTTTTTTTTACTTTGCACAACATCTGTTCTTATTTTAAAGAGTTCACTTGTAACAACTATTTCCTACAACAAGTAATGTGACAGGAGTTGTGTTGTTATTCAAACATTCTTATGTCCATTTACAATTCATTTTTATAACATCAAATAACTACATCTATTTATCTTAATCTCCGGTGTAGGATAGGATCTTAATA